CAGTGGGAAACAGCAGGCTGTTCAGAGCCTCCAGATCAGTTCCTTTCTGTGAAGACTCAAAAAAAAGTCTTCCTAGCTGGGTGATTTGGGGCAAGTTGCTTAACCTTGCTAAGCCTTAGTTACCTCATCTTTATAATGGGGATAAAAATGCCTACTTCACATGATGGTTGAGGTGATTAAATGAAATTGTGTGTGTATGTGTGTGTGTGTGCGTGTGCGTGTGCGTGTGTGTGTAGTATCTGGCATCCAGTAGGCTTCATAAATTGGGTCTCCTTACTTCTCACTGGGGTGAGCAGGGCCACAGCAGGAAAGACCGTGCAGTTTGTACCAGTCTGAAGGCACCCAGCTGAGCAGCTGAGCCAGGCTGAAATACCATGGGTGCTTCACTTTCAGTGTCAGGTGCCCTGGGTGGGGCTGTTCCACACAAAGACTACAGTATGTGTCTTGTGCACAAAGGCACCATAGGGCAGGCAGCAGCTGCTGGGTGTCTGTGCTGGCACCCAGCCCACCCTGCTGGGGAAAGAGAGAAGGGCACTTGTAAGGCAAGCCTTTATCTTACCCCCTGCCTCACAGTTAGACCAGGTTCCCCTATTTTCCTGCTTGTCATGGGAGGCCTTGGCCAGGTGGAGAACAGCTGCCACTGCGATGGGTTCCCCATCTCTCATTAGAGGGGTGTCCTTGAGTGAGGGCTAGCCTGCGTGCACTTCCTCCTCCCAGCAGGCTTCTCACTGGGGGTGATTTGCAAGGTCTCAAACTCAGAACCTCTACCTTTATAACCCAGGGACCCCAAAGAGGCTCTCTTTAACCCCAAGCAGGGTTTTTTTTCCCTTTTCCCCAGCAGGAAAAGACTAAAAGATTGGGGAATTCCCCGGCAGTCCAGTGGTTAGGACGCCGTGCTTCCACTGTAGGGGGCATGGTTTTGATCCCTGGTTGGGGAACTAAGAACCCACAAGCCACGTGGTGCAGCAAAAAAAAAAAAAAAAAAAAAAATGGAGTTCAAGGCCCCAGCCATCCTGAGTCTCTACGTAGCTTGCATGGGAACGGGCTTCCTGTGCAGGGCTGCCTTGATCATTACCCCTTTTCATCTTCATTTCTGTCTCAAATAGTTGGTAAGACACAAGACAGGGTTACATCTCCAAGAGGTAACCTGTATATTTCCCTTTTGCTCTGCTTCTCACTGGTACACAAGGGCACTCTAGTCCACACTGAGAGAAATACACACAAGCGCATACAATTCAATATCAAAAAAAACCAACCCAACCAAAAATGGGCAGAAGACTGAAATAGACATTTCTCCAAAGAAGAAACATAGACGGCCAACAGGCATGTAAAAAGATGCTCAACATCGCTAATTATCAGAGAAGTGCAAATCAAAAAAAAAAAAAAATCACAATGAGGTATCACCTCACACCAGTCAGAATGGCTATCATCAAAAAAGTCTACAAATAATAAATGCTGGAGAAGGTGTGGAGAAAGGGAACTCTCCTACACTGCTGGTGGGAGTGTAAATTGGTGCAACCACTATAGAAAACAGTATGGAGGGTACTTAAAAAAATAAAAATAGAGCTACCATATGATCCAGCAATCCCACTCCTGGGCATATATCCAGAAAAGATGAAAGAAAATCTAATTCGAAAAGGTACATGCACCCCAATGTTCATAGCAGCACTATTTACAACAGCCAAGACATGGAAGCAACCCAAGTGCCCATCAACAGGTGATTGGCTTAAGAAGATGTGTATATATATATATATGTATATATACAATGGAATATTACTCAGCCATAAAATAGAGTGAAATATTGCCATTTGCAGCAACATGGATAGACCTAAAGAATATCATACTAAGTGAAGTAAGTTAGGCAGAGAAAGACAAATATAATATGATATCACTTATATGTGGAATCTAAAAAATAATACAAATGAATCTATGTACAGAAGAGAAAAAAATCCACGGACATAGAAAACAAACTTATGGTTACCAAAGGGAAAAGGGAGGTGGGAGAGGGATAAATTAGGAGTATGGGATTAACAGATACACACTATTATACATAAAATAAAAAAACAACAAGGATTTACCATATAACACAGGGAATTATATTCAATATCTTGTAACAACCGATAATAGAAAATAATCTGAAAAAAATATAAATATATAAGTGAAACAATAAATAAATATGGAAACCACAGAACCTGGGTTTAGACACAAAAGCTCAGAGAGTGCTTGTGGAACCAGATTTTCTTCTCCCCGAGACTAGACAGAACTGAGCTTGGGGAGGCAGGAAGAGGCAGCTGGGCCAGGATGAGAAGAGGGAAAACACCTGAGTCCTTGAAATGGGGGAGGGGCGGGGGAAGAAGGGAGCCCGTGGAGGCATTCAGTGTGGGGCTCAGTGTGAACCCTCACTGGGCACCAGCTCTCAGTGTTTATAAGGCCTGGAACAGCAAATGATGGCCTGGGGAGCAGGGATGAGGCCAAGCGGGAAAACCCCACTCCTGAATGGAACTAGGTGGAAATTTCTCTGTGTAAGTAGGAGCAGTGATGAACTCTATGCTGCTGAAGGGTTTGACTGTGGTGAGAATGCTCTTCTCAGAAGAAGGAATTTCCAGTGGAAGAATTATTTAGGGAAAGCTGGAACCATTTTAGCAAAAATCCTCAATTTAGTGCACGAAACTAATTGAATTGCTCAGGTAATTGAAATGTCTTTTTTTGTACTGTTTTAAGGAGGAAGAGGTAAATAATAAGGAATCAAAAACCAATCAAGGGGGCTTCCCTGGTGGCGCAGTGGTTGAGAGTCCGCCTGCTGATGCAGGGGACATGGGTTCGTGCCCCGGTCCGGGAATATCCCACATGCCGCGGAGCACATGGGCCCGTGAGCCATGGCCGCTGAGCCTGCGCGTCCGGAGCCTGTGCTCCGCAACAGGAGAGGCCGTGGCAGTGAGAGGCCCGCGTACCGCAAAAAAAAAAAAAAAACCAAACAAACAAATCAAGGATTTATTTTTAAAATCAACAAAATATCAACACCTTCCAGGGACTCCCCTAGTCAGCACAATCCATCCCTATTACACTTTTAAAAAAGGAGCAGTTGATGTTCAGAAGAATGACCTAGAATCACTAGGGCATCAGAGGGAAGTTTCAGTTCACTCAGCTGCCAGAATCCCTATTTCCTTTGCATTATAGTGAAGTGGAGCTTGACCATATTTCTGAATTAACACAAGCTCCTTGAAAGTGATTTTTTAAGAATTCTAACATCTTTTGGATAAAGGTGACACTGTATATAAATTGAAGGTACTGTAATTTGGGAATGAGCTAGTCTTTGAGAAGAACCCCATGTGGTTGCATCCTGTAGACATTTAACTAGAATGGTTCATGCCAGTGGTTCTCAACTGGGCGGGGGAACAGGGGCGTCATTCCCCCTGGCCTAGGAATATTTGGCAATGTCTGCAGACAGTTTTGGTTGTCACAACTGGGGGGGGGGGGGGGCAGGGGCAGGATGCTACTGCTGTATGTTAGGGAGCAGCCAGGGATGCTGCTCAACATACTACAGTGCACAAAACAGCACTCCACGACAAAGCAGTATTGGATCCAAAATGTCAGTAGTGCTGAGGTTGAGAAATCACGGCTTGCGGTAATGAAAAAAGAAGATATGCTCCAAGTGAGGACCAATAGGGTGGCTGCCCCAAGACTACTCACAGGCCTCAGGGCCAGGTTCAGCCCTGTCAGCCATTGCTCGGGGCTGGTCTCACCTTACCCAAGCTCTTAGGATGGCTATATGATCTACAGCCAAGACATTCATCTGCAATGAAATACAACAGTCAGGATGTCCGGCTGCTCTCAGCTGGCAGCAAGGATACTCAGTTGAGCCTGGAGTGGAACAGAAGGAGTTGTTCCACCAGGACCTGAGACTGAGTCTCTAGGTCAGTGCACATCTTCCCGGGCAGGGCTGGAAGGGTGCTGCCTCATCTGAGTGGAGCTACCTCCTCTGGCTTCCACTGGCAACCAAGTCTTCTTGTAAACAACACCTTGTTTCTTTGGATACGTTAATGTCATCGGTAAAGTCTGACTTCAACCTGGGGCCAGAGTCCACTTAAGATGATTGTATTACTTGCCTCTGACCTGTTCATTATATTTACGTTTCACTGTTCAATGCAGGATTTCCTGATTTGAGAGCAGAGGGAATTCTTTTGAGAAGCCAACTAATCTGTGAGTGCTTGGTGGTTGAATAACTAACACAGTTTGCTTTAATCTAGTACCAGTATTTGTCAAAATTATTAATACAATGTAGCAATTAAACCGTGGACATAACTCATAATAGCTTTTGGTCAGTATGTATTTTCTTAATCGACAAATACTGTAAGTACAAATATCATGTGGGAGCGGGTCTGGGGAAGATTTTGATGATAAAAAGGAGGGTTTATACCGGAAAAAGTTGGGAACCACTGGTTTGACTCTCAGAAGGTTAATTTCCTATATTTCTTAGTTCTTGAGCAGGGAGGCACAGTACCCCGGGGTTGCCCTCCACCCCCATGCTCCAAAGGATCTGCTTGGTTACTCTGTCCCTAGGGACACATCGAGAACAGTGCTTTACAATTTCTAAAACGTTTTCACATCTGTTATCTCATTGGCTCTTCCAAGCTCCAGTGAGGAGGGTGGAACAGTGGCTATCACTTCTACTTTAGGGATTAGGGCAGGGCTTGGTGACCTGATTCACCTCAGGATCTATAGCTCCAGAGCTGGGGCCTGGGCCCCATCTGACTCAGGGCCCAGAGTTCTTTCCACTCTCCTTGCATTGGTAATAGACCCCTCTGAATGTTCTGATCCACCGAACTCCACTCCATAGTAACTAGTGGATAAAAAGATCCAAGAAGTATTTAAGAGTTTTGATGAACTAGTCTTTCATGTACTTCTGAATCCCAGCTAGTTTCTGAGAATTGCACAAATGTAAAGAGAGCAGAAAGTAATGAAATAGCCCATGTTCTGTTGCCATGGAAACCCATGCTTACCTTAGGGTTCATATTTGGTACAATTTCCTGAAATTCCTCTTGAGGGTTCCAAGTGATCTTGGGGTTCTCTGAACCTTGCTTTTGTAATCTGAAAAGTGAAAAAATACCGAACCAGATTGTTTTATCTTTGACATTCTATTAGTCTAAATCTATGAGTTCTATTAGCATCATCAAAGGAAGAACTCTCTAGGATAAATGAATGTTTTGTCACCTCTGTGTAAGAGATATCTATCTAATCATTCATTCATTCACCTAGTCATTCAACAAACATTGATCAAGTGTAAGGTACTATGCTAAGCTCTATACAGAGTACAAACTTGAAAACGTCTATTGAACACAAATCTGTGCAGCTATCCTCTGTAAGAAAATCAAGAACAACTACAAAAAAGTCATTATAATTGGCTTACAACTGATGCTTTAAACCACTTTTGATGAAAAGTTAAGAGCTCTTCTATTGGAATGTAAAGTATGCAGACAAAGAAAATTTCTTGCAAGTGACTCAGAAATTCTCTCAACTCTAAACAGGCTCTCAAATGGCTATAGTGGTTAGAGAAAACTAGTAATGGAACTCTTTACCTTCAGTTCTCTGTGATGAGAATCTAAAATTTCATCATAAAAATTTCAAAACAAGTTCCAGTGCAACTGTCTCAAGGGCAAGGAAAAGAATATTTGTCAGATTTAATCTAGAGTCTGGTATTGACTGCTGTCCACTAAGGGACTTTCCTCCTGTCTTAATAAAATTTTTATACAGTATAATTCCATTATTCATACAATATCTTTTCATTTGATCAAGAAGTAACTACCTTTTATTTGGTAGGGGGAGATGAGATTGATTTGGCAAATGGAAATCAAGGAGACATTTCTAGATGGATGTTTTTATTTTCACTGTTATATGAAAGATGACAAAATTAGGCAGGAAATTACAAAAGCCTATGACACAAAGGAGGAAATTACTTGTGTGGTACCGTGTAGAGAGGATACACTGAGAAGGTGCTGCAGACAGATAAAGTGAGGGGCTCACCAAGCTTTATTTTTTTTTCGTTTCTGAGCATCACTGTCCACACCAATACCAAGCACCATGCCCCGAGCAGGGGTACAAAGACGGGTAAGATGCTGTCCCTGCTTTCAAGGTACCTGTAGTCCATTTGGGGGAAGCTGAGCCAAGTAACTGGACAGTTCCAGCTCAGTGTGATCAGGACCCCAATGAGGCCAGTACTGGGATTACAGGCATACACAGCAGGGCCCTCACACCCAGGCTGGGGGCCTCTGGTGCTGCCTGGACAGGAGTCCTACCAACATGCTTTCCAGGACTGATGTTTCACCCGTGGCTCTGAAGAGATTAAATATATACAAAATCACAGGTGTGATAAGAAACCCCTCAGAGAAATAACAAGGGGCGTGAAAATACCATCAAATCCTCTAATGCCTTTATTCAGTTACACTTGGAAAGAGGAGACAGGTACACACGAAGCCTCTGGGGTCGACAACACCTTCCTCCCAGGTTTGCTCAGATTGTTAGGGGATCTCCAGGGACATCCATTCTTCCCATTAGCAGTGCGTTGGGCCAAAGGATGCACCACGGCTGCACTAATATTCGCTATATTGGATTACGAAGCTGAGTAATTGCCATGTAAGTGTCAAGTAATGGTGAGAGCATTCATCTGTGTTTTCATTCATTTGGACAGCAATTAATTTGTATCTAAATTAACAATAAAAATGGTTATGTGATCCAATAAAGTAGAAATGGTGGCAGGAAAAAAATATAATGTCTGTTTTACCCTACTAGCAAGGCCAAATCACTCTTTTCCCCTCCCACTGTTGTCTTTCTGGAGAAGGTTATTTTCAGGCAGGCAGAGCAGGAACGGGGCGTGCGTGCTGGCCCCTGTCAGGGGTCCAGCCTGAAAGGCTGTGGACAGGAAAATGGGATTTGTGGGATGAAAAGTATTGTTGACTTGAAATGGTACAGGCAGGTCACTACTGCAGCATGCTCCCAAGTAAGGCCAGGAAACAGGCCCTCTGGAATTGTTTAAGGCAAAGATAGACACAAACTCAGATGTTAACACAGAATTAACAAACTGGTGCTTTTGGGCAGCATATGGCTAGCAGACACATTTGTCATGAAAGGGTTTTAAGTCTTTGGATTTGTTGCCAATGTTTAAAAATTAGGCTATTTCACATGAATATTCAGATCTCCAGTTCTCTTGAGAAGCTGGAATATTGTCTGCACTGCGTCTACATTCCTGCTTGGCAAAACTTGGTTGGAGCTCAGTGGTCACCGTTCCCTTTAGTCAGGTAGTGCTTGCCAGTTTACTGCAGTCCCCACCACTGCCTATTGTCCTGTACTGTGCCTGCCTCTCTCGTTATTAACTTGGCTGGCTCCTGCAGGAGTTTCTAACCCCTGTTTTCACATTTGCTTAGTCACTTACAGAAGTAACCTGCTTTGTTCACTCTTTATATCGGCTTCACTTTTTAACTTCCTGGATCATTTTGTTTTTATAGAGTTTGGATGTCTTGGGCATAGAGGGCTCTCCCTAACCAAAAGTCTTACGCCTGCTGCTATGCTGTTTGGTTTTGGCATTGAACCTTTTGCCATAGAACCATAGACCTATCCAAAGGGAAGTTACTTTGGAGAGCATCCTATCCACCTGCCTCATTTAGAAACTGAGTCTCATAGAGGCCAAGGTACTTGTTTAAGTCACACAGAAACTTGAGACAGAGCCAAGACTGGAACCAATTCTGGTACTTTTCCTACTACATTTCAGCCCCTTCTGGGTGCTCATTCATGATACTGCATGTCTCAAAGAAAGAATATAATTTCTCAAGTTATTGTTCAATCTTCCCACATTTGAAAAGTTTGAACAATGTAGCCCTGTTGGGCACGGCTATCTGCTCTCTAAGATGGCCCCTGGTGATGAGTTACAGTATTTAAAGCTTATTATCTGATTCCATCTGCTGACTTCTGAGAGCCTTGAACTGGGAGTGAGGCCAACTGGGTTGGAGTCCCAGCTCTCCCTCTTACCAGCTGTGTGACCTTGGGCAAGTTTCCTCACTTCTCTGAGTCAGAATTTCCCAAGTGCAAGACAGGAATGTCTGCCCCACAGGACGTTATGACCATCACGGGACATAACAAACATGAAAGTTCTCAGAAAAATGTAAAAAGTTAGATAAATACAAGTTACTATTACAGGCTATTGAGCTTAGATATCAGAGAATCCCAGAATTCCCTCATTTTACAAGTGAGGCACTGAGCCTCAGGGAACAGGGTCATCCAGCCAGCTATGGGCAGAACTCAGATTAGAGAGCAAGTCTCAAGTCTTCCCTGCTATTACCATAGTTGGATTCACAGATCTCAGTTAAAGCCATGTGGGCCCCAGCACGTGGGCAGCTAGCCACGGGGTGAAATGGGAAACGCCGTAACCTCCCCTCACAAAGGTTTGGGGAATCAGGGTCCCAGCCTCAGACACAGAACAATTCAAGGGCTCTCATTCTAAGGGCAGAGCCCACACTCGCTGGTGGCTGATTCCCAGTCTGTGAGCATGAACTTGGGAGACATTATACTGTGCAAATGAATGCTGTTTTTGCAAATTTGTGGGACCTGCCAGCTCTCTCAGTTTAACTAGATCTCTGCAGTGACATCCAGACATGTTCTGCATTAAATTAGAGCTGGTAATTTCAGAGGGAAACAGCTCTGAAATGGCAAGAAAGACAAAAATCTGTTCCTTGAAAAATGACACCATATGTGCCCGCATTGCTGCAGTTAGGGTAAAAGGCTTTTCCTCCCTTTGTTTCTCCTCAAGCAGCCAATGTTAATGTCAGATTTGCAACAGAACCATATACTAATGGAACCCAAATTAGCTCTAAAATTAGATCTTAACAAGAAACTGGAGGCTAGCTCAAGGCAAGCAGATTTCTCTGACTGTGAGACAGAAAGCATTTTAGCAAAGCAGCCGCATATTGATATTCTCAAGCCTCAAAAAAGATCTCTCTTTGCTCTGAGTGCACAGCCTGCTGCCTGCCTGTGCGTCAGGAACTGGCAGCTCAACCTGCAGTTTTAAGAAAACCTTCCCTCAAGCAAAGCAGCTATTGGGAGTCTGGAGTGTGGGTGAGGAGAAAGGGATTTCGGGGGTCAGATCTGGGTTGGAGACTGGGTCCTGGGAGTGGTAATGTTCCAGATTTTAGAAGATGTTTCATTATCGCTGTTTGTCTGACACCTTTAGAGAACCCAGAGACTATAGAAAAACCAGTGATGGAAAATATTTATATAGATAAGCAATATTTAGCAGCTAAAACGGCTAATTGTGAATTATCTTCCAGCATCCTGAAAAATTACCATCTGAAAATTTTTCTAAAGAGTATCCTATCAGTAGTAACATTTCTAAGATGTTAATAGAGAGGTAAATTTCATTAATGGGCCTCCAGACCCACCAAGTTTTTGCTACCCCTGGTTCCTCAGTGGCTGCAGGTTGGAATTTGAAGGTCGATGGGTCTACATGTTGAAAGCCACTTTGTTTTTGGAGTTTCTCCAGGTTTGTGGACCAGGGCTGGGGGCAGGAGGGCACAGGAGGTAGAGTCGGTGGTTAGAACCACTGACACCTACCCAAGGAAAAAAACAAAAGAGTGAAGAAACCAAAGTAAGGAAGCAGTTGGAGAGTAGCAAGAAGATGGTATTAGTTTAGGTGTGGGGTAGTGTGAATTAGTCATCCTTCCATCAGGAAAAATGTATCCAGTTCTTGTAGATGAGATGCCTATGCTCCCATACACTCCGAGAACTCCTGTTTGGCCAAGGAGCACCTCTGAACCTGACATTTGGGGCACGTGAGTGCAATTCATCTTCACATCCTTAACACACATTGAGCACTGTCGGTTGAGCATTGGGGTGGCTGGGCTGAGGAAGTCCTCCTCTCAGCCTCACAGAGCTCAGTCTATTGGGATGATAAAATGGGTACATAGAAAACCAAAATATAAGCAAAAGGGAGTGAGAACTGTGAGAAAGGGCCTGAAAAAGTGCTCTGGGGCTGCAGATGAAGGAGCGATTAGTTCTGTGTTGTGAATTATCTGGGGAGTCTACACAGAAGAGGTGACATCTGA